AGGTGCCAAGCGTCTGCACACAGTGGGAGTGGGAGCCTTGCAGGATAGAGCGGCCAACGCTCCCAGGGTTCTTTCTGGCTTCACCTCAGTGAAAGCCAAAAGCACTCAGCAGAGAGAGAGAGATGCCAGGCTGCTGGCTTATGCCTATAATCCCAGCATTTTGAGAGGCCAGGGCAGGTGGATCACCTGAGGTCAGGAGTTCAAGACCAGCCTGACCAACATGGTTAAAACTTGTCGAAATTTTAAAAATACAGTATTAGCTGGGTGTGGTGGCACATGCCTGTAGTCCCAGCTACTTGGTAGGGTGAGGCTAGAGAATCACTTGAAACCTGGGGGCGGAGGTTGCAGCGAGCGCTCCATTGCACTCCAGGCCTGGCGGACAAGAGTGAAACTGTCTCAAAAAAAAAAAAAAAAAAAAAAAGCAGAGAAAGCATCATCTATCCTAACTTTCCACAGGAAGCAGTGATTGTGTATTTATTCAGATAAAACAGTCAAGTTCCGAGTCTTCCTCCACAATGGCACCGCCAGCCATACAGTTGCATGCAAAGGCACGTGAGAGCAGAGAGCAAATCCTAGGAACCTTTTAGAATCTGTCACCAGCACAAGAGGGTGGTTCTGGAGACCAAGGCCTTCCAGTCCAGAGCTCCTAATGAAGATCCATGGTAGAACCCCACTTTACCCCAAATAGGACAGAACTCGAGGCACCCCTTAGAGACAGAAGAGACTGTGGGTGTGTTCAGGGGCACTCAGGTTCAACCCAGCCTTGCACAGGGCCCCTGGCTGCACCCATTTCTATGGCCTCCTCCAGGCATTTTCAACCATCTGGCCTCATGGACGGTGCCCAGGAAGCTCGGTGCCCAGCTTGTCTTTAAGCACTGTGGAGGAAGAAAAATCACACCACCAGACTCCCACAGTGACCAAACATGCCCAGCCTCTCCATTTTGTAAAAGTGCCCACACCCAGCCCAATCTGTTTTGCTTTCAGGCTTCTAAGAGAACACTACCTTGAAAATGGCAGAGAAACTAGTGAGGTAGGGAAACTAGAATGTGGAGAATACCTTTTCCTTGTTATTTTTAAGCAGTATAAAATTCAGAAGCAAACAAATACAAAGAAAACCATTACATTTATTAATAATGTATCTTAGATTCTCATCCCATAGTTTTACATCAAATGGCGCCCACTGGTCTCAGTACAGAGGAGCTGTGTGACTTTCTGAAATTATAGAAATGTCCACGTCCACCCATGTGCTGAGCAGACTGATGTAAAATGTTCAGTAGGTTCTCCAATGTCTCTCAGATATCTTTAATCGTCTGTGCTGAAGAACTCAAAATCCCAGAGCAGCTCCACTTCAGATCTAGGGCGGGAGGCAGGCTCCAGAGTGGGAGGCTGTGTTGATGAGAATCTGCCTTTTGTGTGTGCCCGGCTGGGACCAGCCTCTGGGAAAGAGAAGCACCGAGATGTGAACGGTGCTGCGGGCTGATGGCTTTCGCAGCCACATAATCCCTCCTTTGATGTCGAGGGTCAGTGCAAGCCTGGTCCCCCAGGCTAGGAGGAGACAAATGAAAGAATCTCGCTGTGATCTTTCCTGAAAAGGAAACAGCAATAACATTTATTACCCAGTCACCGGGAGGAATTCTCTGTGTGCCTCTGCTCTCCACTTTCAAGAGAAGACTTTCGTCACAAGACGGAGGAGACCCAGGCCCATCTCACAGCCCTGTGTGACACTGGTCTTCTCACACATGGCCGTGACACCAGCAGCCTGTACTCAGCCTTTACGTACATAATAGCTGCTATGAGGAGTCCCCAATTCCGACCTGCACCCACTGTAACTGCTCTCCAAAAGTCTCAGCTCACTGTGGGGGCCCTGCCTCCCTCACATCTGGGGGCAAACGTGCCCCCCACCCCCACACTGGCACTGTGTCCTGCCTTCAGGCCATAGGGTTTTCCAAGTCTACAAACCCCCATGCCACAGTAGCACATACAGATGACAGCACCGTGGTGCCGCTGGGCCACGGCAGATGCGGGCCTGTCTGCCACGAGTGGGAGCCCCAGCTCTCCTGAGCCTCGGGCACTTACAGACACGAAGGCTTTTTGCTCAAGGGCTCGACTCCTGTTCCTGCTGAACTGAGCCAGTGTGTAAAATGAGAACTGATATCAGCTCAGTAGGCACCGGAGGGCGGGTCCAATCGACAGCCAGGAGAAGCAGCGCCTCAGCTGGGAGCTCCGTGGGCACTGTTCGCTGGTGCAGGAGTCGCGGAGGCCTGGACTGCAATACAAGAGAGAGTTCACCGCGCCTGGAACAACATCAGGAGCTCCTCTGAAAGCCCCGCCCTGCCCCACTCACACGCCATGAGCCACCACATGGTTTCACTTGACTTATGTGATGCATTTGGTTTCAGTTTTTTGTAAGAATAATTTTCGCAACTTTAAATACATTTGACCTTTCAGACAGAGGTCTGATGAGTGGACGTGTGTTTCTGTGGACAAACTTAAGGACTCTGTACACGGCTTGCATTCCCGGCAGGAGACAGTACATCCAGGGGGCCAAGTGGTCTCTCGTGCTCCAGGATCGTGCTCTGCACCCAAGCTGACTGTGCAGCAGCGGCCAGCCCGTCAGCAACGGCCTCTGCCCCAGCGGCTCCAACTTAACTGTCCCCATCTCACCTTCTCTTCAGGTGCAGAACTTAGCCACTGTGAACAAAGCGGAAACCAATCACTGTTCACCAATCAGCTAAGCTCTGCACCTTGTCAGAGAGGTCATCGCTGGGCATAAATAAAGGGCCGGTGAGCATCTTCCTCAGCTGGTGGCTTCTTTTGTTTCCAAAGAGCTACAAGATGCACCTGTTCTCCAAACTGCGGCGCGTGACTATGGTTTCTGGAGGAGCAGCCAAGGTCGTGGTTGCGTGGTAATCCCTGGCAATGTGATTTTAATCTTAAGTCACAAATCAGCATGCCAGGAACCCAAGCAGCCAGAGCACCCGAGAGCAGCGCCATGCCCCATGCCCCCGTCTGCACGCACTGGGCTTCCGCTGAGGGACGCCGGCGACACTGCTGCCTTCATGCTGCTACACTAGCAAACGGGCGGAGTTTGTTTGTTCTTCATTTAGTTGGCATCCTAGAGGTGTCATTTTTTGACTCAAAGGGACTCAAGAGATGACCATAAAAATCCCAGTGCAGCTTTGGAACTGATGAAAAATGCAGTGACAGAATTGCTTACAGCAGCTGTCCTTGCTTAGTTCACTGCCTCTAACCCTTGGGGACAAGACCCCTTCTCACCAGGCATGGCTTCTAGCTGCCCTGGGAAGCCTTTGGGGACTCTCAGGCTGGGAATGTCCCCCTGCTAGAAGGGCCCTGAGAGAAGCCCTGGCCACTGTTCCTACTGGGGACCGGGGGAGGGGGGCACTTGTGACCCCTGGATTCATCTGGAGGGGTGGGGGCAGGAATGAAGATGTCTGGGAGTGGGCAAGGTGGAGACTTGTGACCAAGATGACTCCTTTGTCTGGACAAAAATTCCCCATTAAGAGTGGTGAGGGGTGTTCCCTGAGGTGCTGCTGGAAAACCTGGAACAAAGGGAATGATCAAAGGACTAGCTGGTCTTGTAGTTTCACACACTTTAACATGAACTCCAAGAAATAACAACTCAAGAGAAACACAGTTTACACTCATTACTATATGAGGCTGACAGTGGGCTAAGTACGCAGTCTGTGCTGCCAGCCCATCCTAGAGGGGAGCCGGGTCATGTCTGCAGCAGCCGATTCGCTATGAGACATCCAGTAGCACTTCATCCCCCTCTCCCCACCCACATTTCCCTTTCCTGGCACACATGGTTCCTGACTCTTCTGGAATAATATGATCATGCTTAGAAAAAACTTTTTATTTCATTAGTAAGTTCTTTCATAGAAATAAGCTACTTAAACATATTACACAGAAATGGTTTTCATAAGCATAAAACATTAGAAGCGAACTCAATTTCCAAAAGTGAATGAAGAGTGTATCAACACCAGATATTCAATATCCATGAAAAATTCATTTAAAGCTGTAACATGAAAAATGCTTGAGATCTGGTTTTTTTTTTTGAAAAGATACAAAATTAGACATCCCCTATTATATTACATAAAACACTGAAGTAAAATGCATAAAACAGAAATGATAAGGATTGTTAGAAAAAAAAATGATTGCACAGTTGTCCTAAAAAAACTAGATGTACTACTGCTAGGTTACTTTAATAGTGCAGAAACCCATATTTAACAATTAACTGTTAAGAAGTAAAATCTAACAGGTTAATTCCAGGCACTATTAACAGAAGAAGTGATCTAGGACTCACTCAAATATAAACCAGGGGAGACATTCTGCTCCAACACAACAAAGCAAAAAGTAGGACCTGCCCTCAAGACACAGGGTCATGGAGTGTGGTGTGTGTGCTGCGTGTGGTGCATGTGCCGCCTGTGGTACGTGTGCTGCGTGCGCTACATGTGGTGCATGTACTATGTGCTCTCCTGTCAGCCCATGATCAGGCATGGACAGCCCAAGGTACCTCCAATTCACATATGGCTGGAAGAAAACAACTACTTGCACAAGCTAGGCTCTGGAGTCACATGGCCACTGAAACTCCTGTGTCAGCCGTGACCTTGAGGACTAGACCAGCGCTTCCACCAGGCTTTCCATTCATCTCTAAACCCACTCAAGATGTTCTCCCACAATTTTTTTTCCTACAGATTATAAAACCTGAAGTGGCCAAAATAGTCTCAAGGAGTGCCGCTGTGCCTTCAGGTGGGTAGCCTCTGCTTCCTGGTGACCACCCCACCCAGACACGGTGCTCCAGGGACCTTGGGCTCCCATCCCAGTCCAGCACCCACTCGTCCTACTCTCCAGGCCCCCAGCCAGGGAGCTGACTACTGAGGCTGCAGGTGGTCTTGGCTCACTATTCGGCTTATTTAGTTGGCTCCTAAGAGGAGTATCTGGTTAGAACTAAATGACAGAAAGGAAAGGGAGAGAATCACCTCGTTAAAATAACATTTCGGCCACCACTTGGGCTGAGGACCTATCCATCTGCTCCTTGGTCCGCTCGAAGCACCTGCGGGCAAGCTGCTGCTGTCTGGCGTCCTCACTCACCATCAGCTCCCCGTAGAGGTACACCCCCATGGCCTGCAGGGCATAGAGGCCAGAGGGCATCAGGCTAAGGCACGGGCACCCATGCACACATGAGCTGAGTCTGTGCTTGTTCCACACACACTTGCTTGTCTGGAAACTGCAAAGACCCCAGAGAAGACAGAGGCCATGGGGTGACTGAGCTTCTGGAAGCTGCAGTCTGCAATCCCCGTCTCCTCCTCGTTCTCATCAAAACCCCAAGGAATCCTCAGCTCCCAGTTCTCTCCAGAGATTCTGATGACTTCACTGGTGACAGAACGATGAGTGAGCATTCCCATCATGATGGGCATGTCAGGAATGCTCTGAACAGACAGAGACAGTTCCCAGAATGACCACGCGGAAGGCCTGTGTGGCATTACAGAAATGCAGGGCTCCTGCCCAGAAAAGTATGTCCCTAGGAGTCGCTGGTCTGAGCTCACCCAGCAACTCCCTGCCAGGGAAATGAAGGACACAACACGCAGCAGCCACAGCAAGGGCGCATCATGACACCGGCAGAGCCGCCCACCCCGCCTGTGCTTTCCTCCACAGCCCTGCACAACAGTCCACACCAGCTCTGCTGCTTGGGAACAGTGCCACAAAGACTCACATCTGCACTTTTCCTATATTTTTAAAACAGCCAAGGACGTTCTGGAAGATCCAAGGGCCCCTCTGGATCTGCCTGCTCTCGTGCCAGGCTTAGTTACGCCGTGAGTTACATTTTGCTGGAGCAAACTAAAAGAAGGGTCTCAAAGACAGCACAAGAGCACAATTTCACAGTTAAGAGTTCAAAAGTGCTTTCCCAAAAAAGCCCAGACACGGTGATCCTTATTTGACAAAGATCACGATTCTAAATATACTGCAGTGAATTCTGGTCTTTACAACAGACCTTAGAGTTGCTCCTAAATTCTGTCCTTCTTATACTCCTGTATGTTTTTCCAGACGCCTCTTCCTCTGCTGTGCAAATGTGACATTTCTTCTGGTACAAAGCATGTACTTTGCTTTGTGGGAATAACGAGGCCTCAGGCCTCACTGGCTGGCTGTCCCCCATGCAGAGACCCTGTCAAAAGTCCTTTTGTTTGCCTCACTCCCACTGTCCACCCCACCTGGAACGCAGCTCCATGCTGTCACCCACAGTGCTTTGCAGGCCGCTTGTTCAGAGGCAGAAGGGGTAGGGGGTGGGGGTAAGGGATGGGTGTGGGTGGCCATGATGTGTCACAGGACACACCTGACTAGCGACCCTGACACATACCGTGGACATCAGATTTTTCCTACAGATTATAAAACCTGAAGTGGCCAAAATAGTCTCAAGGAGTGCCGCTGTGCCTTGAAGGCAATGAAGAGGTGGCCGATGAAGGTCTCCTGAGATCCGCTCCTGCCGGCACACTGCCTATGGGCTCCTAGGAAGGCAACTGCTGGCCCTGGTGAACAGTGAGAAAAGCTAGGAAGGACACTCGCCTAGCACAACACTGCAGGTGTAGGTACAGACCAAGATTGTCCTGTTGGGGCTTTTCCAGTCTAACTTGCACATGTACTTTAAATGAGGGCCACTGAAATCAGGGATCTACCCCACGGCATCACCAAGGCCCAAGCATGGCCTAGCAGGTGCTGGAGACACCACGAAGTGTGAGCACGCATCATCGGATGATGTGTGGGCCACAAGGCAGCATTGAAGGTCCCCAACTCAATCCTTCAAAGATGCCAAGAGAGGAAAAAAGCAGCTCAGAAGAACCAGAGTTAGGTAAGATGCTACCAGTCCTTAAGAATCTCTGGAACAGATTAATTATTTGTTATGAAAGAGATACTGAGAACATGGGTTCCTGTGTGAAGTGCAGGGGACAGGCTTTATAGAATCGCCATCCGCTGAAAGAGGACACCTACCTGATCCTCCTGAAGGAACCTCTCCACACTGTCGTAGGCTTTCGTGAACTTGTGCTTAACAATGAGTTCACACCACCGATGACGAACCTGGAGGAACAAGAGAGATCCCGTGAGCAACAAGTGGACAGACCTCGCAGTCCACCAGGCCCAGTGACAGGCAGCCTGTGTATTCCAGATAGCTGTGCTCTCAAGTAGATTGGCACTCTTGACATGTTTAGTTTTACATTTTCTTTTAGTTTATTATTTATTTTTTGAGGCAGAGTCTCACTCTTGTCACCCAGGCTGGAGTGCAATAGCACAATGTTGCCTTACTGCAACCTCCGCCTCCCAGGTTCAAGCGATTCTCCTGCCTCAGCCTCCTGAGTAGCTGGGATTACAGGCGCCTGCCATCAAGCCCAGCTAATTTTTGTATTTTTGTAGAGGTCAGGCTTCACCATGTTGGCCAGGCTGGTCTTGAACTCCTGACCTCATGATCTGCCTGTCTTGGCCTCCCAAAGTGCTGGGATTACAGGTGTGAGCCACTGTGCCTGGCCAGTTTATTTTTTAAAGAAAGAAACCACAGTCTTAATTAGGCTGTCAGTCAACTTCAGAGGGGAAAGTAGGTGTTCTGATGGGTGTTTTACTGTTTTATACACGATTTTGCAAGATGATAGATACTAAATGCAAAGCATAACTAGGAAATTCAACATACATCCCGACCAGGCAGCAGGTGCTCCTTCCTGTAGGGTGCTGTGAGTGAGGTTCCCTTTCAAGCCACCACTCCTTAAGTTCTTGCGGCAGTAATTTGGCTCAGTGCTGCTGATTTGTAACAAGAAACACAGTAAGACGTGGAGAGACTGCTCTCTGATTCCCGGGAAGAGGCAGAGCACCCCTTCTGAGAGTCTGGGGAGGGAGTGAGCCCAGGACACCCTGAAGAGGGCAGTTCCTAGTGCGTATCCACATGCGCACAGTTTTGCACAATGTATTGAACAGACAAGCTAAAGGTGAATGCCATTCTTTTAAAAGATATACTTTATTAAAGGTTTACCGGCAGGAATTTGGAAGGAACCCCCCCACCCCTCCCCACTCCCTTCGACTGTCCAGACACAGTGGAAGAGTCTGATGCCGGCCCTAACCGCCCTCTGTACACCAAGGCCTAGAGGCACCTGCTTGAGGTATTCCCTGCATCCCAGAGCAGGCGGCATTCTTGGTGCTGCAGACACGTTCTCTACCAGAAGATTCACCTACCATTTGTTTTTCAGAGCCCAGTCCCCTGCCTTTTTCTATTGCACCAAAGCTCTCTCAGTTATACCAAGCGGGCAGCCGACCACTCTATACTCCATTACTGGATCAACATCAGCATACATGGAAGTGATTATGCGCATTTTAGACTGGCCTCCTTCTGTCATGGCTTGTTTCTATTTACTGTGAAAGAGGGAGATCCTCTATAGTAATATATTTGCAGCAAAATAAAATGTAAGCAACATCAACATTTTGGCTAGGGCCCCTGTAAATGACATCATTTTCCATAGACCTAGCTGATTTCTCCTTTAATCTACTCTAAATAGGTTTACATGCAAACAGTTAAGAGTGACCCGGAGAAACAAATCTTTTGGAATGAATCCTTCCCCCAGGCCACAGAGCCCTTTGAGAGTAGTGTTAACTCAAAATTCTGCTGGGCGGCCCTGGGCTCACAGGTAGCCAGGCCCTTTGAAGTCCTGAAGTGGCATGCCTCTGGGGAAGGGCCTCTCCCCTCAGAGCGAAAGGGAAGGAGGCTGGGGCTGCAGAATCTCTTTGCCTTCAACAAAATGTGCTTTCCTGTACAGCCAACAGAAATTAACAACAGATCATGTAAAGACGAGCAGCCCTACAAAACCTCCCCAACAGAGAGAACAAGTGACCAGCTCAAAGAAGCCCGCTCACCATCACATGCCAGAGGAAGCTGCTAGAAGAAACTGTGCATCCAGCTGTGGAGAACCCAAACTACTCCTTGGATGCCTCCATCTCTCATCTCTCTTCCAACTCACAGCCACCTAAATGTGCCATTTGCCAGGTCCACACACAAACAGAGGTATCTTCTGCTGTAAGCTTTGTGAAGATGGGTGCCAGTTTCCTGAGGCGGAAAGGCCAGGCGAGCTGGTGTGGCCTGGCAGGATGGCCCACATATGGATGGGAGGGACAGCTGGGGATAGGGACCTGCTGCTCTGCCACTGCTCTGGGACTCAGGGAAAGAGCCTCACTTTCTTAACTGCACAAGAGAAACCTTACTTATACCAGTTTGTAGGGATCCTGTAGTGAGATGGGCCTGCTTCTGTGTTCTTTAAGTGTTCTATCAAACAGTGCTTCTCTAATCTCACCACACCTCACTTTCGGCAATGACTACTGTCATTCTAAAACTTGGAGGACATTATATAATTTAGATTTGAGAATGGAGGGTTTCGCCTCTCCTTTTCTGTCTGTGCTTTCCTTCATCTTATTTACACACACAAACAACAAAGCATAAACGGGTTTATTTCCCAGTAGAACAAGGCCCTCGGGGGGTACAGGAGGCAGCAGCAGGCCATAGCTGGTGCAGGTCCAGGAGATGGCGGGTGAAAGAGGCTCTTTCACTGCAAATCTGAAGTCAGTATTTCCACTTTTCTTACAGTTAGAAATAGTTTATTGTCAAGATTAGTAAGAGACCCAGGCTTCTGACCCCTGGAGGCTATCATGGCATCCAGGAAGGACAAACGAAGCCTAATCTCCCACCCCCACTCCCTTTCCCACCCCACGAAGAGAAGATAAAAACAAGTCTTTTCATTATAAAGAGCTAAGTGTATGTCAATATTTCAGCGACAGGATGCTGAGAAGACAACACAGAAATGCTGTGGGAGGCCAGATAGTTCCTGCGCGCTACAGTCTTCACTTCTCTTCTTTCCTTTGAGAAACAAAAAAAAATCCTTATTTTTATCCCCCAAACTCAAGGACCCACACACAATTCACACAGCATTCATCACCATAGGAGTTGGGATGGCTTCAGTCTCACTGAAACCCAGCAGCATTTCTGAGGGACCCCTGACAGAATATCCATCTCCAGACCACCAAGGGGCTTCATGGTCATGAAAGATGCTCCGCCCTCCTCCATCAAGTTCCTCTGCAACTGATAAGGCATGAAAGCCCTATGGGCCAGGGAGCTGGGGCCACAAAGAGAGAGAGGTTCCACAGCATGTCCAGTCTAGAGGTCTACTCTTATTTCTTCATTAACAAGAGTGGACGATGTGTCTTTTTGTAACTTAGTCAGAATAAAATTAAACAACAGGGACACCACATGCCCCGAGACAGTGCCTGGCACCAGCGGGCACTCCTCACCATCTCTTCTGGTCCCAAGCCTCCCCACAGCACCTGGTGGGGAGACCAGCCTCCCTGTGGAGTTGTCCTCTCTGCACAGTTAGGTAGGAGTTTGCTTTTCAGAGGTGAAAGCCACACTCCCTGGCTGTCTCTCTGTTCCTGCCCTGCTTGGGAGCCAGGGGAGTGCTAGAGGCTGGCCCAGGCTCCCCCAGAGCCACAGCCCTGTGCTGTCCCGCGCCTAGGAAAGGAGATGTCGTCCCCAGAGCCACAGCCCTGTGCCGTCCCACACCTGGGAAAGGAGATGTCGTCAGGCCCTTCCTATTCCCCTTGGCTGGAGGCACACATAACCCAGGCTCCTGGGGAGAGCCAGCTGTGGCTGCTTGCCAGAAAGGACATGAGGGGCTGTCCAAAGGGGAGCAGCTGTGACACTCAGAGGGACTTACTAAGAGACAGTGTCCCCTTCCCCTCTCCTCCCCATGCCTGGAAGAACGCAGAAGAACCAGATGAGATCCTCCCCAGCCACAGGCTACCCCCACAAGCCTACACCTGGGCAGGAGATCAGAAGTTTAAACCTGAAATTATGATAAGGGCTTAGCTCCCTGGGAAACTGGACAAAGCCCAGCTGGGAATAGGGATGGGAGAAAAATGTAACTATTTCATTTTAGACCCAAACAAATGGAGACTAATCAGCAAACGAATCACACCCAAAAGAAGTCCATTTTTTCTTAGCTTTTTAGAATTGTTTCTAGATTAATATACAAAATACTGTAAGGCCTTCCTCTCATCCCTCTGCCCACTGTGCCAGTGTGTTTCACGCACACACAATGTATTTTTCCTTTTCTTCCTAACAAAAATGACTTCATGGATGGCATTAATCTGTACCCCAATAAAAATATGTATTTACTTAATACAATTACATAGATATTTAATAGAGTATCTTGACTCATGATTCCCATTAGTGCAGAAAGAGATTTCTCCCTACGGCTTCTCAGTTCTCTTCATTTATGTTTAATGTTTCATGGCTACATATGCCGAAAGTAATCAAATGGTACACTTTGAATAGCCACATTTTATTGTATTCAAGTTTCAATAAGTTGAAAATTTAATCATCTTTAAAACTATGATTAAAATTCATCAGGTCACCCCAAATGCATGCCAGGAATCACCTGAGAGCCTAGAGTCAGCACCTATTTCAGACCTAAACAGACCCAGACCCCAGACCCTGATCGAAGGGGCAAGGAAGAAAAACGATCAAGTAGGTGTGGGGGGGAAGGAGAGTGGGTAAGTAGAGAAAGAACAAGACAGCAGAAGGGAAACAGGGACAGGACACTGAGAAGTGAGACCAGAGCTGTCCATGGCAGTGAGCACAGGGTCCTGGACACCTGAAGCATCTGCACCTCTACCCTGGTGCCAGCCGCCTCATGCCAGCCTCTCAAGCACTTGACGCCTTCCCTACCAAGGAGGTGCTCATCTCTTCCCTCTGAAACTGCTGGTGCTGACTCTGGGTGACAGACAAGCAAGTGGCCTTGGAGGGAAGAGCAGACACAGCCCAGGCCAGGCTGGCCTCCTGACCTGCCGGAAGCAGGCGAGAGCTCCCACATGGAATAAACTGGCACAGCTCTCATAAGAAGAAAAGGCATCTGGGTCTCTGGATCCTTTCTATGTCATCACAGTGAAACTGACCCTTGCACAATACACAGGTGTGTACCCTAGAATACTTTGGTCCAATAAAAATTACCTTGAAAATTTGCTTTTCAAAGTTTTCTGCTTATGGGACACTAAACAGAAAAAAATAATGAGAATGCTGCCCTCACTTGGTGTACAGGTGCGGTTTAACACAGAGGTGCTATTTATACTGTTGGAAAGAGATTCCAGCATTTTCCAGTTTCCAAAGCCTCCATAAACACATGGAATGACAGCAAAGATTTCCACATTCTCCTAGGAGTGCTCCACCTGACTGGTTCTTTGAGTCTGGGTGTAGGTGGGAGGGTCTTGGAATCTGGGGTGGAAAGAATGAAAGGCAGGTGTGTGGAAGCCAATCTGCATCAGGCCCATGTGTGATGGTAGAGAATTAAAATCCTCAAGGAACCTAAATAATGGTTCCAGGATGGTGGACCCTGTCTCACTGAGAGATTGCCACAGAAGGGAAAGGGTTTGTCCGTGGTACAGGCCTAAGTCATCTGGGAGACCTGAGCAAACATGCAGTCTGGGTATCCAAAAGGCACATGGCGGGAAGCACACACACAAGTGCAGGCTATGAGGATGGCGGCTCACTGATTCCCAAGCACATTCATGGCCACCAACTGCATGACAGGCATTGGGATATGGTGTGGGGCAGAGTGATGGTCAGTACAAACACGGATGCATATTTATGTATGCATACATATCCCCAAATGTGTATATGTAGAACGTAACATACACACACTGAAACCAAAGTGCTATTTTCCAATGCTTTCCCTCACTACATGCAATACAGTCTAATATTTTTTTCTTTTGTTTTTTGAGACCGAATCTCACTGGGTCACCCAAGCCAGAGTGCAGTGGCACGATCTCAGCTCACTGCAGCATCTGCCTCCCAGGTTCAAGTGATTTTCCTGCCTCAGCCTCCTGAGTAGTTGGGATTACAGGTATGCGCCACCACTCACCCAGCTTATTTTTAGTAGAGACAGAGTTTCACCATGTTGGCCAGGCTAGTCTCGAACTCCTGACCCAAATGATCCACCTACCTCGGGCTCCCAAAGTGCTGGGATTACAGGCGTGAGCTACTGTGCCTAGCCTCTTCTTTTCTTTTTTAAAATGTTGGTTGGTGACCTACTAGATTGATTGTATGACTCCCCCCACAGCGTGAAAACCTATATACAAGCTCGGCTTCCAGAGCCCAGTGCTCCAGGCTGGACCCTTGTCGGTTCAGGCAAGCTGCTCTAACTATGCCTCACTCCAGCTCCAGCTCCCCAGAAGGGGGTTAGCAGAGCATCGACATGTCGGAAGGACAATGAACAGAGGCTGGGCTGGCAGAGCCTCCTACTCCCAGGCAGGAGGTAGGAACCACAAGGCTAAGGAAGAGCCTGGGCCGGGTCTGAGGCTTGCAGCAAGAGAGCACAGGGAGAAGGGGAGCCTTGGGAGTAGTAAGGGCCTGGGGAGAGCTGAAACTTTTCATGCCATCTCCTGGGAAATACACTCATTTGTAAAGATAGCTCCCTCAGCCTTACCCCAGCCTCAGCCAGACTCCACTTCTGCCTTTGCAGGAAACATATCACACACTACCTGACAGGTTCCATGGAGCTATGTAAGAAACACAGTGCAGAGGGAAGCCTGCTATTCTGATCTCTTGCAATGCTACAAAAATGGCATATGGGCCGGGCGCGGTGGCTCAAGCCTGTAATCCCAGCACTTTGGGAGGCGGAGGCGGGTGGATCACCAGGTCAAGATATCGAGACCATCCTGGTCAACATGGTGAAACCCCGTCACTACTAAAGATACAAAAAAAATTAGCTGGGCATGGTGGCGCGTGCCTGTAATCCCAGCTACTCGGGAGGCTGAGGCAGGAGAATTGCCTGAACCCAGGAGACGGAGGTTGCGGTGAGCCGAGATCACACCATTGCACTCCAGCCTGGGTAACAAGAGTGAAACTCCGTCTCAAAAAAAAAAAAATGGCATATGCCTAGGAAGGCCATTTATAAACCACATGTTGGATTTGGAACACAGGTCCCATAACAATGAGCATTCTAATGATATAACCAGTAATTTTAACTAGGATATGGTGAAGAAGGCTTCCCCTTATTTGATTGCTTTTTTCCTAGAAACAGAAAAGTTGCTGAAGCTTCCTCGCAACTTGAACCATTCTAATCTTTTTAAATTTTTTTTTTTTTTGAGACAGAGTCTTATTCTGTCACCCAGGCTGGAGTACAGTGGCATGATCATAGTACACTGCAGCTTCTAAACCTGGGCTCAAGTGATCCCCCACGTCAGTCTCCCAAAGAGCTGGGATTACAGGCGTGAGCCACTGCACCTGGCCCCTAATCTCTTTTTAACCCAAGATACCTTAATGTGTCCAGAACCAGAATCCTAGCAAACTCTAGAAGAGAAGCTGGCAATTTTTTTCTTTTAAGAGCCAGATGTTGAGTATTTTTGGCTTTTTGGTCAAAGCAGCCTTAGACAACATGTAAATACATGGGCATGGCATGGCTGTCGTTGGATAAAATGTAATTTACAAAAATAGGCAGCGAACCGAACAAGCTCAGGCTGGGGTCAGCACAAGGTAGGAGGTAGGAACCACAAGGATGAGGAAGTGCCTGGGCCGAGTCTGAGGCTCGTGGCATGAGAGCAGAGAATCCTCGCTCTAGAATGGGTGCCCAAGGTATGGCTCCCAGTGCACAGTATACACAGTGATATACTACTGTTTGCCCCCAAGCATCCACCAATATGGTGTCACTGAACACAGAGATGGGGCAAAAGGTGAGCAACGGCCCCATTAGTAGGTCTGGGCCAGCGTTAGCACCAACCCATGAGAAAATCTGGGATGCTGCTTTATGCTGGTCCTGACACCCTGGGCCTTATTCCTCCCTCTGCAGGTCAAATTCCTCTGTACAAGGAAATATGCTCAGGCACTCATCCTGAATCAGACTCATTAAAAAGGGGTACTGCATCTTTAGAGTACCCCAATACTGGAGATACAGTCTGGAAACCAGTGTCTTACAGAAGAATTACTGTGCCTGAAAAATAAGCATCATCCACAAGGGCCTGAGCAGACATGGCTATGGCTACAGGCACAAGACAGAGCAGATGCTCTAAGAACTCAGCTAGGACACCCAACTTGGTTCCAAGAGGTGCGGTGCTACCATCAAAGGCCATCAAGACCAAAGACAGGAATGATCTCACTGCCTCTTCCACAGCAATCCTGGAGCCAAGGGTTCAGTTTGGTGCACGCTCGTCACCATGCTTAGAAAAGTGCGATGGCTCCTTTTGGTAGCTGCTTTCGTTGTTTTATTTTTAAACAGTTAAAAATTATAAGAAGATGACTATATACAAATACGGAACGCAATATACACGAAATTCTAGCAATTCATGTCAAATTCACTTTTGGTCTTTCCAACAGCAGCAATCAATACAGATATGTGTTCAGTATCCCAAACTCAAAAATCCAAAATCTGAAATGCTCCAGTGAGCTTTTTTTTTTTCTGGGGGTGGGCGGTGAGGGGGGTCATGTCAGCACTCAAAAAGTTTGGGATTTTGAAGCATTTCAGAGTTATAGATTTTCAGATTTAAGAAGCAACCAGTCATGTATAATCCAAATATCCTAATAACTGGAAAAAAAAATCTGAAATCTGAAACACTTCTGGTCTCAAGCATCTTAGAGATAAGGGAGACTTGACCTGTGTATGATTTGGGGCTTTCCTTCTCTCTACTTGCCACTGTTGCATTTACTAGCACAGTGCCCTTCTGTCACTGTACTACACCTCCACCGTCTTCCAGTCTTCTGATGACTTCTTTAGCCTTTTAACAAGAAAGCTGTGCTTTGGCCAGCAGAAAGAGGGGACAAGGGAATCTGTTGTGACACTAGATGGCATTGCTGTGGCCACAGCTCATCTAGCAGACCCATGTTCACTTAAGTGATCTGATATGTCCACATCCCCTAGCTCACCTTGGCATCCCAGAGTTCAACTCCCAATGTGCCCCCATGGGCCACTCTCAGAGTTGGGCTTTGCAGCCTTTCTAGCTCCCAACTGCTCTATGCACTGCTGTATCCTTCTATGTTGGTCTGATGTATTTATTTATAGTATCATGCAAGTCTGGGGAGAGCATGGGCCTCTGGGCCATCTTCGGGCCTATCATGATGCCTAGTACATAGTACTTGATAGATGCTTCCAAGTGAATGTACCACTTTTGAAAACTTGGAATGCTTTTCAGCTACTCTAAAATTATAATGCTCAGTTAGAGGCTATAAAATGCTCTGAAGAATGCCACCAGTCCTATTTATAACAGGAAGCACTCCCCTTTCTTTTCAGTCCTTTTGATTTTCAAATTTATTGTTGAAGAAGAAAAAAAAAACTTGTCCAGGGAATATGATCTGGGAAGCCCATTAAACCTCATTTAGAGTTCCATTTTATTTCTGTAAACAGAAAGACCAGGGCTCATGGCTTTTCTAAGTTAGTAAGTCTACCCTGCAATAAACAAACCTGCTTTGTCAATGTGTGTCCTTAAATTAGATTTAACTTGGCTTTATAGTGGGCTGACAGCTGGTAAGGGGAGCCTCTGCAGAGCAGCCACAGGGCAGACAGCATTCCAGTGGGTAACTGCCCCTGGGGGCTTCTGGAACAGTGGAGGCCGTCTACCTGTTCAGTCTCATGAAAAGAGGAAAAGAACCTTTCACTGTGTGGGGATCACATCAGGGCTCTCAACATTTGTATTTTCATTCTCTCAGTTCTTTTCTCTCTCACCATTTCTCCTCATTTCTGAAAGGCTGCAATCTGAATGTTATTTTTTAAACCAAAGGAAATTAAAAGTTTATTTGCTGCTGCAAAGCCAGGTTAAATTCTTAGGCATCGGGTTAAGAGGACATATGAAGCATACAAGGTTCTTACCACCCTTGTTGGAGTCAGTCCCTGCAACTCTTTTATTTTTTTGAGACGGAGTTTCACTCTTGTTACCCAGGCTGGAGTGCAATGGCGTGATCTCGGCTCACCGCAACCTCCGTCTCCTGGGTTCAGGCAATTCTCCTGCCTCAGCCTCCCAAGTAGCTGGAATTA